CTGGAGTCAATCACGAGGCAGAGGGTCCGGGGGGAACTTGGGCAAGAGACTTTATTATGGTTTCCATGGGAAGGAATGGGCCAGGCAGGGTAAGAATGTTTAGGATTGGCTAATTTGAATAATTTTAGCAGGGCCTGGAGCAAAGGTGCTGTCCCTAGTTGTCTGGTACCTCACCCTGGGGCAATTAGGGCAGGTGTATAGTGCTTCAGAGTATGAGAGCCCAATAAGGAAGGTGGTTAGGGGGTGTGAACTTAGCTGTTCAAGCAAAGGAACAGACTCACCTCTAGCCAGGGCCTCAAAACTGGATCGACAGCTTTAAAAAACTATATTACATCCGCATATATTTCCTAGGGAACCTGGCCTTTAACAACAAAATTTTTTTTTAATATGTTGATAATCTTATTTCAGTACAATTGGTTTCTTTTTCATGAATGTAAAAATATTATTCTGAGGAGATATTCATAGGCTTCACCAGACTCCAGAGGGGCGTATGACACAAGAAAGGGCAAGAACCTTTGTTAATGGGAGAGACAGGCATGCAAGCAATCATATTTATATCTCAATATATGGATGGGTGAACTGTTTCAGGGCGAAAATAAAGAAGTGACTTGTGAGGGTGATGTGCAGGAAGTGGTTAGAAAGGAAAGAGTAAGTAACAAGAATGCTTCCTAGAGAAGGAGCTACTAAAGTAGAGTCTTAAAAGAAGAGGTGTAGGTGGGTAAGAAGACTGTGGTGGGAAACCCCAACGTCCACTCTCCAAAGGCAAAGACTTACTGCTCTTTAACTGTTTCTTCTAGTCTGTCCCTCCACATTGCTAACACAAACGCGCACACAAACACATACATCCCCCCCCCATGCCAATAGTTATTTACAATTTTGGATAAATCATGGTTTAGTATTTACATTATTATGACTATGAAAATATTCATAATGATTGATGATGAATTTTTTCTTGTACAAATTTTTCACTAGAATTTAATACTTGCCTTGTTTTTTTCCCCTTATCTGTCTAGTTTTTAATGATTATTCCTAAACTTCCTGTCAGCATTGTAAATTTCTTCTCGATGCATTCAAATATATCAACTACTATGTATGTTTCATTGTTTTTTCCTTGAGACATCACTCTTACATATGCACCTCACGTCTGCCACTGCCCGATTCTAGACTGTTTGGAAATGACTTTGGCCGGTTCTCGTCCTGGGACTTCCTTTCAACTTTTCCTATCCTGTGCAGGGTCTCTGGTTCCTGGATACCATGTATTCTTCTTTGCATTGTTTTGGGAGCACATCAGTTTTTGAGATCTTGAAAATCAGAAAATGTCTGTATTTGACCTGCCCACTTGATTGGTAGTTTGGATATAAAGTTCTATGTTTAGAAATATTTCTCCCAGAATTGTTAGCAGTTGCTTCATTGTCTTCTAGTTTTCATTGTTACTGTCGAGAAGTCAAATGCCATTTCTTTTTTTTATTCCTCAATATTTTTAGCATCTTCTCTTCCTTCCAGTGGCCTGAAAAGATGTGCCTTGATAGAGACTTCTTTGCTTTCATTGGCTTGGCACTTGATGGGACCGTTCATTCTGGAAATCCGTATCCTGCACGTTGAGGATATTTTCTTGTTTTATTAATTTTCTTGATAAGGTGCTCCCCTCTCTTCTTCTTAATTCTTTCTTATAAGGAACCTCTGTTACTCACATGTTGGATTCCTAGACTGACACTCTAATTTTCTTCTATCACTTTTTCATTTTGTTTTATTCCTTAGGAAATTTAACAAATTTCCCAACTATTTTATTAGGTTTATTTCTGCTATCATATTTGAAATTTCCAAGACGTGTGTGTATGTATTTGTAATATATGTGTATGCATGTATCTGCATGTGTGTGTTTGTGTTAAATGTGTATATGAGTGTATGTGTGTCCATACACAGATACAAGGCAGTGCATGTGAGTTTGCCAGTCCCTGGTAATGTGATGTCAACTGCTGCTCTCAGACCTAAGGAGTTAGCAGAAAGGAAAAATGAAGCTCTTTCGGAGTTACAAACTGAATTTATGACTGGGCCTGGTAAAATGAATCTCCTTTCCAAACCTATGTTTCCAAAAGAGCTACTTTTGTATTTTCTCAGAGCTCCCACAATTTACTCTCTTGCACAATTCGTCTTTCTTTCCCATAATTCCCTGTTTCTCCTATAATTCCCCATCTCTTCCACAATTCTCCATTTTCTCTCACAGTTCTCTGTTCTCTTGTAATATTCCACTCTCCTTAACAATTCTCATTTCTCCCACAATTCCTTCTTTCCCACAATTCTCTATTCCCCATAATGCCCTTCCTCTCCTATAATTTCCAATCGCTCCTGCAATTCTGTTTTTCCCACAATTTTCTGTTCTTTCCCATGATTCTCTGCTCTTTCCCACAATTCCCTCTCTTATGCACAATTCTCTATTTTTTCCCTAATTCTCTATTCTCTTTCCTAATTCTCCATCTCACCCACAATTCTCTGTTTTTCCCACAACTCCCCTGTTTTTCCCATAGTTCCTAATCTCGCTCATAATTCTCTGTTCTGTTCTATAATTCTCTATTCTCTCCCACAATTCTCTTTTTTCCTCACAATTCTCTATTCTCTCCCACGATTCTCCATCTCTCCTACAGTTCTGTTTTTTCCCCGTAATTCATAATCTCTCCCAGAATTCTCCATCTGTCCCACAATTCTCTGTTCTTTCCCCAAATTCTCCATCTCTCCTAGAATTCGTAGGTTTTCCACACAATTCTCTATTCTTTCCCACAATTCTGTTTTTCCCATAGTTCCTAATGTCTACTACAATTCTTTTTTCTTTCCCAGAATTCCCCTTGTCTCCCACAATTCTGTTTTTTCCACACTTCCCTATTCTCCTCCACGATTCTTTATCTATCCCACAATTCCCTGTTTTCCCCATAATTCCTAATCTCTACCACAATTCTTTGTTCTTCCCAGAATTCCCCTTGTCTCCCACAATTCTGATTTTCCCCCACAATTCTTTATTCTCTCCCACAATTCTCCATATCTCCCACAATTCTCTATTCTCTCCCACAGTTCTGCTTTTTCCTCATAATTCTCTCTTTTCTCCCGTAATTCTCCATCTCTCATGATTTTCTCTTCTTTCCAATAATTTCCTGTTTCTTTTATAATTCTTTTTTCTTCCCAATTTCCTCTTACAAATTTTCATTCTCTCACACAATAGTTTGTCTTTCACAATTGTCTGTTTCTCACACAATCCTCTCTCACCCCCATGATTCTTTCTTCTCTCCCACTATTATCTATGTCTTCCATAATTCTCTGTTCTTTCCTACAATTTTCCATGTCCCCTACAATTCTTTATCTTTGCACAGTTCTCCATCTCGCATACAATTCTTTTTCTTTCCCACAATTCTTTGTTTCTCTCACAATTTTCTGTTTCTTCCATAATTCTCTTTCTTTCCCACAATTCCCCATCTCTCCCACAGTTCTCTTGTTTCTCCCATAATTCCCTGTATCTCTCATGATTGCCTTTCTTTCCCATAATTTACTGTCTCCCATAATTTTTTGTTCTCACAATTCTCTATTTTCTTGCAATCTTCCATTTTCTCACAATATTGTGTTCTCTTTCACAATTCCCCAGTCTCTCCTCCAGTTCCCTACTCTCTATCAAAATTCTCATTTCTCTTGGAACACTGCATTCTCTTTAACAATTCTCTGTCTCTCCCACAATTCTCCCTTCTCTCACATAATTCTCTCATCTTTCCCACAATTCCCAAACTCTTCTACTATTTTCTGTTCTCTCTAGAAATTTCTTACATTTGTTTCACAATTTCTTTGAAGACCTGGGGCCCATCTCACATCTCCAGGGTTTCTCAGGACCAGACCCATAGGCGAAGGGAGTCCAGAGGTTGTGTCCTATTCAGAAGCAGCATGGCCAGAGTGTGGGAAGAAGATGTGGCCTGAGGATGAGGACATGACACAGAAGGTAGAGGCTCAGCAGGAGAGCACAGCTAGCTTTGCATGGGGTATAGGTGTGGCCAAGGAGGAAAGCAGGGGTATGATAGGCGCAGTGTGAGCCAGATGAGTGATGTGTGGCTAGGCAGAGAGGAGGGGCATGGGCATGTGGGGGAGGGAGGCATAGGCATGGAAAAAGTGCAAGGGTTTGGTGGAGGTGGCAGAGGAATGACTGTAGCAGGGCAGGAATGGGAAAGTTCATAGTTATAATGCACTGCAGGTGGCCTGAGAGGGCGTAGCTAAGGGGTAGCACAGGAGGCTAATTCCTTGTCTTTCACACTACTCTATATAGCACTTGAGCAAAAAATTGTAATTATGTATTTAAAAGTATATTTCTCTTACCTCCCTATGGGTTATTTGAAGTTAGAAAATATATCTTATTAAGCTTTCTACCCCCTATATTAGTGGTACTCAAAATGTGTCACCTGAGTGGGGCCTAGTTCACACACTGTTACCAGTCTACCAGGAGATGAGGAACTTGGACCAGAGGGAAAGCAAAGCATTGCTTCCTTTGTCAAGAAAATGTTGCTATGAAAAACATGTTCTCTAAGAAAAATTGTGCTTAGATACAGCAGATGTATATTCTATACAAACTTCTTATCTCATCTTGGACCAGTAACTAGCAGTTCCTGGACAACATTTGAGTGGCTAGCACTGCCCTATCACTTACGGTCTAGTTCCTGATTTATAAATGAGCAGTCACTGAAGCAGTCGGTAAGCAGGCACTGAGGGGGTAAAGGAGTCAATGAATCTTGAACTACATCATTCACTCAGCAGTACTTATGGAGCATCTGTCATGTGCCAGGTCTTGTGCTAGGTGCTGGGAATACAAAGGTTAACACACTGGACAAAGTCCCAGCCCTTATAGAATTTACCGTCTAGTAAACAAATAGATTAACCAAGCAATTAACAATCCAATACACAATCAAGTAAGTAATTTCAAGGTATGAGAAGCACCATGAAGAAAGTGGAACGGGTAGTGTGACAGAGATTGAAGGGTGTGCTGCTACTCAAAGGCAACAGATTTGCGTCTCCTGGGAGCTTGTTAGAAATGCTGAATCACAGCCTCAACCTCTCTCCCCAACCACTGAGTCTAGGCCTGCATTGTAAAAGGAGATCCCTGTGCACAGTACAGATCTAGAGCTTTGGATCCTACCTCGGATGTGGTCGTCAGGAAAGACCTCTCTAAGGAGGTGGCATTTTAGCTGAGACCTGTATAATGAGAAAGACGCAGCACGTAAAGGTCAGGACAAGGAGTGGCCCAGACCATGGGAACAGCAAAGCAAGGCATTCTGCAATCGGAATGAACAGTGGAAGACCAGTGTGGTCTGCAGAGAGTGCAAGAGGGACACAGAAGTGTGAGTGAGGGGCAGAAGGGTAGGACTGGATGTGGGGGCTGGATTGCACTGCCTCTTAGGCCGGGGGAGGAGTTTGCCTTTTCTTCTAAGTGAAATGTGAAGCCCTAGAAGGGTTTTGAATAGAGAGTTATTTGACCTGGCAACTGGGAGAATTTCTTTTTCTCAACTTTGCTCTTTGCCACTCTCCAGCTGTGCCTGGAGACTTTCACTTGGCTCCCCGCCAGCACTACCCATGAACTTCACAGTCTTTGCTAAGGCCCAAATGCATGAAGGCAAGTTCCTAAGACACAGTCAGGGGACCCCCTATACCTCAGTGTTCCACAGGGTCTGCACGGATTCACCAGGACTCACTACCTCTGTTCTCAGAGGGACTGTGTCTATATCATGCCTGTATCAAGGGCCCGGGCTACATCTCGCTCTTGGAAGTAAATGCCACTGTTCTTCAAAGGAATTTGTTGCCAGTAAAAGTAGATTACTAGAGGTTATCATTCTGTTTAATATTCTCAATACCATTGTAATAACTTCAGAGGATATATTGTTGCTAGTCAGTAAGTCCCAAGCTTTTGTGGGTTTTTTTTTTTTAATGGGAGTTCAGGATCTCTTAATATACACCTTTAAAAATGAATTAATTTTAATTCACTGATTATTGATAACTATCTTTTATTGTGGATCACTCCCCACTTATCTGAACTCTAGTTTCATGTCTCCAGATGTACACAGGGCATCACTCTTTGAAAAAGTTTCTCTAATTTATAGCTGAACTTATTTAAGACTGGACTCTCCTTGATACCTGCCAAATGGGGCTGGGTGGGCACTGGCAGGCCTGCTATGGGGCCAGTTCAGAAAACTGAAGGCTGTTCTCTGATGAATGCTGACAAGGAGATGCCCAGCCCCTTCCTCTGTTTGGGAATCCATCATATATAAGGTTTGATAGGAGGCAGGGCCTTGCTTCCCCCTATAGTAGCGATTCTCAGCTGAGGGGGAAGATTTTGTTATCCCCATCCAGGAGGCATTTGGCAATGTCTGGAGACATTTTTGGTTGTCACACTGAGGATAGGGATTGCTACTGGCATTGAATGGATTGAGGACAGGGATGCTGCTCAACACTCTACAATGCGCAGGACAACTCTCGTAACAAAGAATTATCCAGCCCGCTGTCAGTAGTGCCAAGGTTGAGAAACCCTGTTCTAGGCAAACCAAAGGCCAGAAGCTTTCTGTCCTGGATACCTGGCAGCTAGAGCGTGGGCTCCCACCTCCTCAACTTGACCAGTATATAATATACATATACACATAGTTGTGTATATACGTGTATGTGTATGTGTACACTAAGTAACTACATTGGGACAATTTAACTTATGTCCCCTTCTTTCCACCCCAAACCAACACACTCAGTCATTCTGAAGCTGAAATGGGGGGAAAAAGCTTGTGTTTAGTAGTAAACTATCTTTATTATTATTATTATTATTATGTTACTGTGATTAAGTTATTAGGCCAGTTGTTGCCACAAGAGTGCCTTTATGAGTGATTAGATTTAACATGGTAGACTGAAAAAAGTGGGAGTACCACTGGTAACAATGGGTGAAATGCCCACTGCTCTGGAGAGGAGCTATGTAGAGCAACATTAGTTACCACCCACCCAGGCAGGAAACATCAGCATAGTCTTGCCTGGAGGAGTAGGAGATTTCATCCTTCCTTCCCTGTGGAAATAATTAGTAGCAGATCTGGTTTGCTAATAATTACCAAAGAGAAATGGAGCAAAAATAGGGTTATGTTAATGACATTTCCAGCAGATATTGAATTTGTCTTTCACCTTCTAAAGTATAAACTACAGTCGAGCACCTTCCAACATGATTTTTCTTTTGAAGGGGAGAAGCATAGTAAACTATAGTTGTCTGAAATTACCATCTTACTGTAGAAAGAGAAAACTAAGATGAAGAAGGTAAAAAGAGAGAGAATAAAAGAAATGGCTGCTGATTTTGAGAAATATATAGGTTAGGGGCAAGATGAGTTCAGTGTTGGATACACTGCAGTTGTGATGACAATGGTTATCTAGGCAGTGAAATCCAAGAAGCAGTTCAGAGCATAGAACTGAAACTCAGGAAAGTGAGAGCTGGTTGCAAATAAAGAAACATAACTCATCTGGTATGGGTGAACATTAAAGTCACACATATGAATGGCGATATCCTTCAAGGCTTTTGTTATTCTTTGCCATCATTCCATATTTATCAAAGAATCATCTGACTTTAGCTGGGCTTCCCTACTAGGAAGGGAATGCTTGACTACTCAACCTAAATATATTCCTGCCTCTTTGGCCGTTTTATTTCTTATTGTAAGCATCATGAATGAATAAATTGGAGAGAAGAGAAGTAAAAGTGGAAGGAAGATCAAGAAGGTGAGGTATGAGTGACTGTGGAGGAAGGAGGAGAAGGCTCTGTTGAGTGGTTTGGAATCACCCTCAAGTGGGACTGAAGAATTAAGGCCACAAAAGATAAGTTGACAAGCCGTTCTCTGCCACCACCACATCAAACACAGTTTTCCCAGAAATATACTTTGGGGGATATTAAAATTCTTATTTTAACTTTTGAATCCTAGTAAGTGCAGATGTTTGTGATATTATTTTATTGCATGGTCTCCTTATGCAAAAAAACCCCAAATATATACAGGCTCTAAATGTAGAGTTATTGGTACAAATATTTAAAAGATATAATCAGAATGTAGCAAAGGTTTGGATTTTTCTTGTCTCTCCTTCCATCTCTCTCTCTCACTCTCTCTCTTTCTCTCTTTCTCCCTCTCCCTGCCATACACACACTACAGCAATGGCAAAATAAAGCTTTACATCCAAAGAAATGCACTGTGAATTATAAAACATAAAGTAAATTGTTAACATAAATGCTAAAATATGTTGCTCTTGCCCCTCTGCTCTGGGGTTCTCTACTAATTTGCTCAAGGTTCCCCTTTAGTAGCACCGCCCTCGATGTTACTTCAGAAACAGAGGCAGCTATGTTCCTAGGAAGCCTAATGCATGAGGTTATCTGAGGAGTGCTCTTCTGTTCCCAAATCTCTATCTTACCAACTATATCAGTCAGGGTTCTCCAAAGAAACAGAAGCAGTAAGAGATCTCTCTCTCTCTCTCTCTGTCTCTGTCTCTGTCTCTGTCTCTCTCTCTCTCTCTCTCTATCAAGAGATTTATTTTAAGGAATTGGTTAACACAATTGTGAGGACTGCTAAGTCTGAAATTTGAAGGGCAGGCCAGCAGGCTGGAAACTCAGCAGAAGTTGACATTGCAGCTTTGAGTCTGAAATCTGTAGGGCAGGCTGTCAGGCAAACATTTCCTGAGCGCCTGCCATGTGCTGGATATGGAGCTAGTCTCAGAGGCCATGGGATGGGGGGATATGTTCCCTACTGCCTCACCAATACTTTAGGTGGTGAGATAGACACACCTCCTGATAATTTCATTTACTGTGGTTAATTTATAAAGTTCCATGGGAGTATAAAGAAAATGTATTTAGCCATGACCTTTACTCTGGAGGAGATGACCTTTGAATTGAGTTTTTGTTTTTTACCACTTTAACTATTTTTAAGAGTACAATTCAGTGCAATTAAGTGTACAATTCAGTAAGTACATTTACAATGTTGTGCAACCGTCACCATGAATTGATGTTGAAAGGCTAAGTAGGGGTTATTCCAGTGTAGCAGACACTGGTAGATGCTATAGAACAGCTATTCTCTCCCTCCCTCCATTTTTTTTTTACACAAATGGTAGCATACTTTACATAATGTTTTCACTCTTGTTTTTCTTTGCTTAAAATATCTTGGAGGTTTTCCATATTGGTACCTAAAGTGTTCCTTTTTGTTTTTACTTAACAGCTGTACACTGTTCCATTGTAGATTAATATAATTTATATAACTATCTCTTATTGATAAACTAAACTTAGATTATTTCTAATACATTCCTATCAGAAACAATACTACAATGAGTAATATTGTACTCACATCATTTCTCACATGTGTGAGCATGTTTGTGGAATAAACACCTAGAATCGAAATAACTGGGTCAAGAGGAAATTGCTTTTATCTTTGATAGACATTTCCAAATTACCCTCAATAGGTGGTTGTACCAATTGACGCTTCCCTCTAGGAATATACCAGAGAGCCCGTTTCCCCACACCTTCATCAACACAGTGTATTGCTCTTTTGGTTATTGATTTTGTAGGAACTATTTACATAGTAAGGAAATTAACTCTTTTTCTAAATTATGAGTGTATTAGTCTGCTTGGGCTGCCATAAGAGAATAACATAGACTGGGTGGCTTAAATAACAGAAATTTATTTTCTTGCAGTTCTGAGTGGGGAAGTCCAAGATCAAGTTGCCATTGGGGTTGAGTTCTGATGAGGACTCTCTTCCTCTCTTGTAGACAGCTGCTTTCTTGCGTATCCTCACTTGGCCTCTTCTCTGTGTGCATGCAGAGAGGGCGGTCTCTGGTGTCTCTTCCTATAAGACACCAGTCCTATCAGATTAGGGCCCCACTCTCATGACCACATTTAACCTAATTACCTCCCTAAAGATGCTATCCCCGAATATAGTCATATTTGGAGTTAGGGCTTCAACATACGAATTGGGGAGGGGGGACACAAGTCAGTGCATAACAGTGAGTTAGAAATATTTTCTCAGTTTGTCATTTTCCTTTTGTTTTTGCTTGTGGTGAGTTTTGCTTTGAGTAATTTTTATGCACCTTAATTTTACAGTCTTTTCTTTTATGGTTTCTTGGTGTTGTGGCATAGTTAGAAGTATTTTCTTTTAAGTCCTAAATGAATTCCTCCAAGTTTTTTCAAATTTTTTTAAGTTTTCACTTTTTGCTTTAAACCATTGACATATTTGAAATTTGGCCTGGTGTAGGAAGTAAGGTATGGCTCCAATCCTCCCTCTATTGTTTTTCAAACAGTTACTCAGTTGTCTCAGGACTATTTATCCAATAAACCATTCCCCCAGATCTGCCTACACACATACATAGATTTGAGATGTTATCTCATTATTAAGACACTAAATTCCCACGTGTACTTGGATCTATTTTTGGACTTGTTACTCTGAGCCATTGTTTAGATTGGCATAGTTTTTTTTTATCATGTTTATGAAGTATCTATCTATCTCTGTTTTATTATGAGTTTTAACAAAATCAACGAATGCTTTGGTGAATGGACTTCCATAGAAGATGATAAAGAGGTTGAGTTTCCCCCCATCTAGATCAATGTGGACTGAACCAACACAGGCAGAAAGAGGAGTCCAGAGGCAGAGGAGACCATGGGAACATAAGGCCCTGAGAAATACCATGTAGCTAAGGGAAACTTGATCTTGCATGGACCTGGTGATTCAAGTGTATCAGATCTCGAGCTCTGGGGCAAGGAGGCCAGGCCTAGCTGACAAAGGCTTACTCTTTGCTTAAGGGTGAATTCATTAACTAAATGTTATACAAAATGTGGTGAATTGATAATTAAACATTCTGTAGTTGTAGAGTTATATGTGTGTGCCTGTGTATTTGTACAGTTGCTTTTGTTTTATAGTTTAGACCAATGCTTCTCACACTTCAACATGCACACAAACCCCTCAGCGATTCTGTTAAAATGCAGATTCTGATCTGTAAGTCTGGATGGGGCATGGGAGTCTGCATTGCTAGTTCTCACAAGCACCCAGGTGATGCCAATGCTCCTGGTCCAAGGACCACACTTTGGATGGCCAGGTTTTAGAGTGTCCTATGTGTTGTCCAGAGAAAAAAAATACGGAGATGGGGAGTAAGCATTTAGAAACGTTTGTACAGGTTAAAAAAGTGATTTTATATCTGATGAATCTGATAAAAAAGAAATTTGGCTTGCATTTTGTGTTTGCTTTTTGTTTCATTTCATTAGTATTTAGTTTTGTTTTCTACAAAAGTATCAGTCTATGATTGATTAGAAATTTTGAAAAAACCTAGTCTTTCACTACAGATAGTTCAAGAAGCACTACTTTAAATACCTCATAGTGAGAGAAAATTGGTTATTTCTCTTCTCTCATGTGGAAACAAGAGCAATTTGTCTAAAGTTTTTTTATAATATATTTAATGAAGAGTATGACTATTCTATTATTTGCGATAATAATGATATAGTTATCCCGTAACTTTATTTAAATAATAATTATCAATGACAATAATAAACTTGATTTATTTTTTAAAATCCCTTTCTAATTGCTCAAAGTGGCCTCATGCTTTATTTCTTTGCTTTTTGCAGTATTGTAGTGCTGAGCCCTGAGCTACCTGAAGTGAATAAGGATTATGCTGAACCGATGTGGTTTGAGGATCACCTACCGGGCCCCCCTGCCCAAATATATTTATCCTCAGGTGAGTCTGCTATGGTGCTGGAAATTCTGACACTGAGAAGTGACTGCTAAAATGAAAATGCACTAGCACTTGTTGTGAAGCATAAAATACGTGTTTTATTGTATCAGGTGAAATAGAAATGATTGATTGCATATTACATTGGTGGTTAAATATTTAAAAGAAATTCCATTTCTGGGAACTTCCTTTGATTTTTGTTGTTGTTGTTGTGTGTTCATATGCTGTGGTCTCTATGAGGACTTGATACAAATGAGAATTGTGTGATGGAAAAACGGTTAAAATTAAGAGCGTTCTATGTGTTAAAGATTTCCTGAAAATTATGTGTGTCTTGGGCTATTATTTTAACAGGAACAGCTCAGGTAAACACTGTGAAAATCATCACTTTAAACCATTAACTCTGATAGATTACATTTGTGTAGTAAAAGTTATATCCCTGAAAACAAACTTCAAAAGCATGCTCAGGACATTCGTTAAGGATGACAAGTGAGTATTTAATTTTTGGGTGGTGTTTATTGGAGAGAATATCGGGTCCTTGTCAAATCATTCTTTTCTCTCTTCACTATTCTTTTTCCCCCTCGCTCCCTCCCTTCCTTCTGTCCTTTCATCCTTCTCTTCCCACCAGTCCCCCTTCCCTTGCTTTTAACAAATTATTGAGTACCTACTATGTACAGGATATTACACTAGACACAAAAAAGAGAGAAAAGATGTGCTTTGGCACTAATAATAAGGCCCCCAGACCCCTGGGATTTAGGATTCTTGAACAAACGAGATTTGATAAAGTTTATCCTCCCAAGGCAAGGGGAGAGGGGTGGCCAGAAGAGGAGGATGTTCTGACCGGAAAGGAGACAAGATCTGAGTTAAGGAAGCTGAAGGATACAAACTTCCACTCAGGATTTAGGAGTGGCAGGAATGCTTGGTGTGTAGGAGGTTAGCACTGGGTTAGTATTATTTAAAGGACTACAAGCCTGCCCTCTAATTTAAAAGGAGTGTGGGGGTGGGGCATACCGGGTGTGAGGAATTCAGTGTGATCTGAAAAATAAGCTGAAGTACTAACTCCATTGTGGGTGGGGAGGCAAGAACCTTCCCTTTTTTGAGTTGAAGATAAGCCTCTTCAGTCTGGACTTGCTTTCCAAAAATTCCATTCCTTCTTTTTCTAGAAAATGAAGTGAAATACTTTATGCCAGCCACCAAAAAGCACTGACTGTATTTAATGTGAATTTGTGAGCTTGTTATGCTATAAAAGTGTTTCTTGGCTGTTTCACATGCTCTCCCTCAAAATAGTTTGTATTTTTGGAATCCCACATAACCCACATTTCGTTTTTCAGAGAAAACGTTCTGTGGCTGTGGTTGAATGAGTTCTCATCTCTATTCTATGCAACTGAGGCCAGCTAGGTCTCTAGGCCATCTTGATGCCACACACTGAGAATCTTTTCTGGATTTAGTGATTTGGTACTGGTTATTTCCACCTTCTCTGAGAATGGAGCTCAGAATAGAGACCAGATTGAAAAATCTAAAAAGTCTCTTTTGCTCTGAGTATCATGAAACCAGGTACTACATCTTACCCATCTTCTCTCCCTTGGTACCAGGCACAATGTCTGGCATATACCTACTATATAGATGGATGGATGGAGGTAATTGGGAAGGAGAAATAAAGCCCACAGCACACCACCAAGTGGCTGCAAAATTATTCCTGCAGTGAAGACACATTTTTTTTCTCCTTTGTTTTCCATAGGATACCTTTCTAAACTTGTCTAAATGGATGGGTGGGAGGATGGACTGATGGGTGGTGGGCTAATGAATGACAGGATGGGACAATAGCTGGGCGGATGGGTGGGGGATGAATTAAATGTGTATTAGTCCCTACTGACCTACTATTCAGTGTCATTAAACTATCTATGCCTGATGACTTAGAGCAACTCTATCACCTATTTCTGAGTTTCATCTGGTTGAAGTGTGAAATCACTGAAACTTTTATTCATTTGATTCTGCCACTTGTTTTAACGGTGACAGTGATGATTCTACTTTATTTGTGTGAGTTTGATGTTGGCTTTTGCAAAGCTATACATATATTGTTTATAAACCTTCATATTTTTGGCTTTAAATATTTTCTCACCTCTTTGGACAATGTTACAAAACATTTTATGGTAGAAAAGTTTACAAAAGGATAACGTAAGTTAAAAAATCGTAGTTAATGACAGTGATTTAATGGGACCAGAAAAATGGAAACCCAGATCCTCCAAATTAAAAGAAAGCTTATTTGGGGTAATCACTTTTTTTTGAAGAAGAAGATCAGCCCTGAGCTAACATCTGCTGCCAATCCTCCTCTTTTTGCTGAGGAAGACTGGCCCTGAGCTAACATCCGTGCCCACCTTCCTCTACTTTATATGTGGGATGCCTACCACAGCATAGCCTGCCAAGCAGTGCCATGTCTGCACCCGGGATCTGAACCAGCGAACCCCGGGCCGCCAAAGTGGAACATGCAACCTTAACTGCTGCACTACCAGGCCGGCCCCTGGAGTAATCACTTTAATGTTGGACTTTACAGTTATGATGGACTTTACAGTTATGATAGGTAGGAATTTTCTGCAAGGGGCCCTCCGATTGGTGAGGGATCTGTCAATTGCATGATTCTTGTTAATTGCCTGAATCTATGACCCCGTGATCCGGCAGCTGTTAACTTGACATTACTAACATGCCTCAACACAAACATTTCATAATCTTCAGTGTGAGAATTTTTAAAAAAATTTTTAAACAACTTTGAAAGGAAGAATCATAACCTAAATCTTTTGGAATAAGACAATCTCTAACAAAAAGATTTAAGAAATTGCCACTGGGGGGCGATGGAAGTTCAGAAACTGCCCAGCTAGTCCCTGAGGCAACCGAGCACTTTAGCTGGTTTATTTATTCAAAGCTGAAATTTGGACGTGCGAACCACCAAGCTCAGGGAAATTCCTGGATGAGGAACACAGTCCTGGGAAAAACCTACCAAAGATGGAATTAGCACCTTGGCAGACCGCCTTTAACACAAAGAGCTTTCCTTCCTTGTGCGTCTTAAGAATTGACTTCAGTTCCCATCAGTCTGAAACAGAGGAAGCCAAGTTAAACTGCAATGAAATGAGACAACAAAGAAGAGTGCTTTTTTATCATTACCTGCAAACACATGTAAGTGCACAGTTTAAATGGCAGTAAGGCATCTCCCAGCCACTTGGATCAGAGTTTTGGCTGGTATGGGTGGGCGTCAGTCAGGAACTTTCCTCAGGGGAGAAGGGAGGTTGTAGAGTTTGTCTTAGGAAACTCTGAGTGATAGCTAACACTTCAGGTGACAGTTAAAGAATCTAGTGAGGCAGAGTTTAGACAGGTTTAGAAAGGTATCTTAGAAAACAAAAGAGAGAGAAAAATGTGTCTTCACTGAAGGGGTAATTTTGTGGTCATTTGGTGATATGGTGTGGGCTTTACTTTTCCTTCCTGATTACCTCTGTGGTGCTTGGGACCAAAGTAGTATTGGGGTCCAACCCTAGCACCAGACTTTGGCCAGCCCAATCCGTCAAGCTTCAATGTTAGGGGTCCAGCCACTAATCCTACTTGGTCTTCTTTACTTTCCCAAAACTGATACCATCAAAGTGTCACCAGCACAAGGATTTTGTCTTGCTTCCACTCCAAGAAGGGCCAAAGGACATGGAGATGTCGAACTTAAGAAAGCAAGTCCAGAATTCACTTTTGTCCATAACAGAAGGTATAAACATATCCAAGAAATTATGTTGCATCCCATGTTCCATAGGGTCTCCATTTCTAAAGCCTTCCAACCTGACAGAGGGATAGCTTGGAAGTTCTGAGATTGCAGTTAGGATGAAGACCCATGGATCCCAATGCTCAGTGCCCTGTGCCCTCTAGAAGTTGCTGATGCGTGTTTCTGAGGACACTCAGAAAATCTGGAAGTCTGTTATATCAGGGAGGACATTTTGGGTTTTGAGTGAGAAGCCCAACTCGAATTAGTTAAGCAGAAAAAGGGATTTATTGATTCACATCACTAGCAAGTCCAGAGGTGGGTAAGACCTCAGGAAGGGCTGCATCAGGGCCTGAGCTCTGCCTCCCTCTCTCAGCCTAGTGTCCCTCTGTGTGATGACCTCTCCCCCAACTTCGTTAACGTTCTGGGGAATTAGCTCCTATTGAGTCACATAGTTTCCCTTGGATCAGTTACTGTGTCTAGGGGTAAAATGGGGCAATATGATTTGCAGGGCCCTGGAGTGTTGTAATTGTCAGCCCACCTAGGACCACATGAAATAGGAGAAAGGATGTTCCTCAGAGGAACTGATGCTGGACAGACGAAAGCAGCATGAATCTACATGCAAATAATTTGTCTATATGGACAGGAAGATCAAGAAGCCAAGTAATAGAAAGAGAGCTGTTAGCCAATAGTAAAATCAATCTCAATTGCAGTTTTGCTTCCTTAAATTCTACCATAGGCCTGATGAAAAGGCTGTGGATTGTTGTGTAAATCACGTGGGGAAAGTCTCTACTAATTCAAAGAGGATCTAAGAACTATTTTCTATTGACAAAAGCCTCTGTGAAAAGGAACCTGAGTTGTAATCAATACAATAAGGAAAGCGTGTGAGTTCAAAATTGGATGCTGAAAAGAAAAGGGAATGTAGTCTAATAATGAAAATGGCCAACAATTGCATTGGGACTAGCAGTCCCCAAATGATCCCTAGAAACCCCATAAGGTCTACATAATTATTTACAAGACTCACTTAATGCAAGTGATCTGCTTTCTATGTAAATCTTAATCACACAGAACACATGTCCCAGAAAGCCCTAGGCCCTGCAGTGGGGTGGCCTAGAAAGGGCACCCTTCCAAATGTTCAAGTTCTTCTCCATGTTCTCTCCCTGCCAGCTATGAATGTGGAAGTCACTTTGCCTCTCGGAGCCTCTACTGCCTCTTCAGTGAAGTGGCAAGAATACCAACCTATGGAGTTATCCTGTGTGTAAAATGAATAATCACATAT